TAAGTGGAGAGGAAATGTTTTGAGAATGATGAGGGCAATGAATGTACAAATGTGCTTTACACAACTGATGTGTGTATGGATTGTGATAAGACTTGTATGAGCCCCTAGTAAAATGATTTTAAAGAAAGGAAAGGGATGGGCCCACGCTGGGAAGTGCTCAGCTCTGGGCCCCCCCGCCCTCTGGACCAGCAAACTGCCCAAAGTATTCTTCCACTGAGAGAAGATGCCTGAGTCTTACCAGATGCACACTTCTGTCCAGAAAAAGTAAGAGGAGCCTCACAAGAAGCGTAGCCAGTTGGTTACTTTCTCACCGTGGAGGATGAGCAGTTAGGATTATCGTTCTTGGACATGGACCAAGATCCTTTGCTTCCTGCCTCAGCTGTGCTGTTTGTTGTCAGTTTCCCAATTCATAAAAGGAAGGGCTTGGACTGGGTCTCTGAGATCCTTATCAGCTCTATCATATGATGTATGTATTTTTAAACTCTTGTTCCCTTAGCAAGAAGAACTTCTTGCTAAACAGCAACAATAAACAAACAGAAAACAAGAGGAACTGTCTGCCTCACTCCTGCAGGAAAGCAGAGCTGTTTTCAGAAAGGAAGGTGTCAAGACACTGAACGCACTTGCAGCTAGATGCAAAGATGGCAATCTATTTACGGCGCTGCTTCCTTCCGAAGCGCCGTGGGCTTTCTGGTTTAAGATGGGCGACAGAATTCTACTAGAAATCAGTCCTCAGAAGGATGGTTTCTTACTGTTCCTTCGCTCCTCTGGGAGTTGGGCTTCCCTGGGAATAAGAGAGGAGCGGTGATGTTCTATTGGCTGGTTATGTCAAATTCTGTTACCATGCAACTGGGAGAGATGAGCAGAACAAAATCTGCACACAGAGTACAGCTCATGTATTACAGGCAAAAGCATTCTGTGCCCGAGAATGACAAAACTACGGAGCCCATGTCTACCAGGCGAAGATTTAAGGATTCTTTGAGGCTATATTATTAGCCAATACCTACAAGCAGACATACCAAACTTCTAAACGGACAAGACGGCTCAGATCATTGGATCTGTAGATGGCCCAGATGCCGGGCCACTGGGACACTGACGTCCCAGGCAAGCAGACCCTTGAAGGGTGCATGGCAGGTTTAGATGATGAGGCTAGCAATGTCACTCAAGGCAAAGACTAGACCATACTGCCAAGACTCACGGTAGAGGTGGGGGCCCACAGGAACCTCCAGAGGCTGGGAAGAGGCACTATGGATCCAACTGTCTCTTGAGAAAAGAGACAAGGATTTGCTCTAATTCTAGTGAGCTCCTGGACTGCTCAGCAGTGCTACGGACACAGTGAGCCCCTCTTTAGGCCGTCTAATTTCAGAGTGACGCCTCAGAATGTTCACTATCACTAGCACCTGAGAATTATGTTTGCCCCCAAATCTCTAGTCTGTAGACAACCTCAGCATTGGAGGCATCAAGAAAAGATCAAATACTTTAACCAGTTGGGTAGGGAAACAACCTGGGTCTAGCAGTGAGAGCCGCTCACCATCTGCTGCAGCCTCTTTCCTGCCTTTTCCCTCAGCCCTCTCTGTTCTCAGGCTGAGCCCTGGTGGATTCCTTACCGTTGTCTCCTGGGCAGGGGCTGGCTGTGGGGTGGCCGGCTGTGCCTGGGGCTGCTGTCCTGCTGGCGCAGTGGTCTTTTGCTGCAGAGTAGCTTGCTGACTCATCAGCTGCTGTGGATGCAGGTTTGTGGCCAGCTGCTGCTGCTGTTGGTAGAAATTCTGTATCAGTTGCTGCTGCGAGCCTCCTTGCAAAACCACAGGGAACTGAGCAATCGCTGGTTGCTGGGCTGCTGGATGGACTCCCTGGAACTGAGCAGAAGAGAGTGGCCAGAACTGAGGCAGAGAATAAAAGTCTGCTCCTGTGCTAGCATCACACCCACAAAAGACAAATGACTCAGTAATAACCAAGGCTAACGCTGGAATCCAAGGAGCAAGGGCAGGCAGAAAGAAGCCTTTCAGCTAGGCCGAAGCTCCAAGACCTTCCAATAAAAACATCAGCATCTTTCACAGCCAGGCCACAGCCAGTGCACTAGATTGCTTCCTGCACTTCCAATTGAGCTTCCACATGGGTGTCTATGCCTCACCTGAGAAAACCTACCTGACTAAATACTGTGCATCCCACAGTCTGGAGTGAGGCAGAAAGATCTCTCAACGAAGAGTCAGTGTGCTATTCTTTGTTCAGAAGTAATTCCTCTAAAGGTGTTTAGGAAGAGTCAAGATTTAAAATGCTCCGCTACACGCAAATAATGAAAGGATGATGGCAAGTAAAATAACAACCCAAATGCCAGCCCTGCTCTTAAGATGCATTCCAGGCCATTCGGAAAATTGGGGCTCCCATCTCGATCTTCGTCAGTCTCTCCAATCTTGAAACAAAGGCGCCCTGGTAGAGTGAGCCCCCACTCCGCTGCTACCCACAAGGCCAACAGGGGGAGATGGAGTCACCCACTCCCCTGAAGACGCGGAAGCCCAAAGGGACCCCTTCCACCTCGCCATCAGTCAGGGTCAACTTGACAGCAGCCAAAGTCTTGAGAGAGATCTTTGACTCTGAGGCATTTATTGACATTTTTAGCCTATATTAATAACTAATTACTTAATGTTATAGTCGCTGGTAAGCTTTCCAGGAATAAGACGACACCTTATACATATGCCCCTATTTTCCATCGCTAGAGACAATGTGCTAGGTACACAAACAATGCCGAGAAAGGGTCTACCGAGTTTAAAAAAAAGAAAGAAAGAAATTCAAGACCGTGTCTTTGAATATCCCAAATACTGTTATTTAGCTATACTGTTAACAGTTAGATGTTAATGAAGATGCAGATGTCAAAAGTGCTGATGAGAAAGAATAGTGTCTGGGGTCTTTAAGCCTTGTCTTAAAACAAGCATCCAACTAAGTGAGGCATCAACTAAGTACGCATGGAGGAAGAGCATCATACCTTAGCCCGTGTGATCCAAAGATTGTAAACTACAAAATCTAAATCCAAAGGAGGGAACGGTATTGGAGTTTAAATTGTGAACACGTGGTTTGCAGAAGGCTTCGGTTGACAGTGGAAGCCCCAAATCCATTTGAAGGGCCTCACATGGATGAAGCCTCCAGTGACTTCCCAAGACCCTAAGCTGAGGGATGTACACGGCTTGCAATCATACAGAGAGCACCATAATGTGGATGATGGCAGATGGAGTTGTGTTACAATGTAACTCCTTATTATTTGATACCCCTTTTGACTCACTGAAATTTTTTCAATTTTTAACATTTTTTGCTTCCTTTCTTACTGTGGTTTTTCTGTTTTGCCTAGTCATTGTTGGTTTTTTTGTTTGTATACTTCCAATTGATATTTTGTATGATTTTCTGTTCATGAAATCCAGGACAGGTAGCTTTATAGACAGTAACTGGGTTGATGATAGGTAAGGATGGGGGGCGCTATGGGGTGCTAACAACATTGAGCATGAGAAGAAAATCTTATGATATTGATTGAGGTGATGATTGAACAAATTTTAAGATGGTTGAAGGATTAAATTGTACGACATGTGAAGTATAAACTAATAAAACAACTTAAAAAACCAAACAGACAACCCCAATATCTGTCAAGAGGGGCACTGACTGATAAATTATGATACATAGTTTAGAAAGGAGCCCTGGTAGCACTGTGGGTTAGGCACTGAGCTGATCATTGCCAGGTCAGAAGTTCAAACCCGTAACTCCATGGGTGAAAGATGAGGCTCCCAGCCCCCATAAAAATGTATAGTCTCATAAAAAAAAAACAACATATAGTCTCAGAAATCCTACCCAGGGTCCCTGTGAGTTAGAATCAACAAAATCACAGTGGGTATATATTTAAAATGGAAAAAAATAAAATAAAATAAAATGGAACATTCTATACACAGGAATGAGGAATATCTATATGGAATGGAAAAGACACAACTTTTAAATTTAATTTTGGAATGATGTTAATGTTCTACTTATCCATAAGATAAAACATCAAAATTTAAAAACCGATATCTAAAAATCAAAAGAAAAATAAACAACCATGGCACTGTCAGGAAAACAATGGACAGCTAATAGCAAGGTCAGTGGTTCAAATCCACCAGCTTTTCCTCAGGAGAAGATGAAGCTGTTTGCTCCTATAAAGATTCATGGCCTCACCCAGTCAGGGTGCAGTGTGACATTGATGAGACATACAGCTTTCCTCTGTTCTTTTAATGCTTCCCCCCCCCCCACTATTATGACCCTAATTCTACCTTACAAATCTGGCTAGACCAGAGCATGTATATAAGAGCTGGAAACACAGGGAATACAGGACAGATAAACTCCTTGGGACCAATATTGAGCAGCCATACCAGGAAGGGAAGGGGAAGAAAGGGGGAACCGATCACAATGACCTACCTATAACCCCCTCCCAGGGGGATGGACAACAGACATGGGGGTTGAGGGAGACATCAGACAGTGTAAGGCATGAAAAACCAATAATAATTTGTAAATTATTAAGGGTTCACGAGGGAGTGAAGGAAAAAAAACGAGCTGATACCAAGGGCTCAAGTAGAAAGAAAATGCTTTGAAAATGATGATGGCAACATATGTACAAATATGCTTGAGACAATGGATGTATGTATGGATTATGATAAGAGTTGTACGAGCCCCCAATAAAATGATTTTAAAAAAAAGATTCATGGCCTTACACACCCTATGTAGGGTTGATAGGAGTCAGATTCAACTCCATGGCAGTGGGCTTGGGTTTGGGGTTAGTGCATCAAAATGAATTTATGACGTATATCCTCTTAAGAAAACAAAAAAAAATTTTTTAAACAAAATTTTTTGTAGTGGTATATGAGAACGCCTAGAAATAATAACCAGTCTATGAGCAGATGAGTATCCCTAGCACCAAGACTATGGTTTTTAAACATCATTTCTGATCAAAGGAAACAGCTCTTTGAAGAACGGGCTAGTTCCAGGTTGAGGGCCCAATGTGCCTTGGATATCTGGTTATCCTCTACTGGCCAAAGGAGAAAGAATCTGAGCATCGAAATGAAGAATTTTTAAAGAGCTGCAATGCATTGAAACACATCACATGCTAAAATCCACGACATCATCATGGTACCAAACACCAAGCATCTCATTCCTCTTCCTCCTATCACGCTGATGGTTAAGTTCAGTGTCAACATGGCGGGGCCAAGATTCCCAGTGGTCGGCAGTTAAAACCTAGTCATCACTGCCATTCAGCTGTGGGCAGATTGGGGTGGGGTGCCGCGCCTTTGCTCAGGCCACAGTTTGCTGCAGTAAATTGACGTGATGTTTCCTTGGGGCTGTGGCCTGCTGTCATGGTAAAGTGGATGCTGTCACAGAGCTTTCTCGTTTGCTCTTGGCTGGGTCTTGGTTCTGCATTTGGCTTACTGACCTTGGTTCTTTGGACTTTAACCTATCACCTGTCCTACTGGCTGCTGATCCTGGGAGTTGTCAGTGGCCTAACATCTGTCCTGCCGACCTTGGATTCCCTGCCTCTGCAGCCACCAGCCTGGCCTGCCGGCCCTGGATTCACTCACCTCTAGAGCCACCGGTCTGTCACCTTCCTGCTGATTTTGGGTTTATCAAGATCAAGTCAGGAGCTACTCAAGTCAGGAGACTTCACCTAATATCTGGCCCACGGACTTGGAATGTGCTCACTTCCACAACTGTGTGAACCATTTTCTTGATATCAATGTCTGTATGCACATATATAAGTTTCTCTGGTTTTGTTTCTCTAAAGAACCCAGCTTAAGACGCTGAGACCAGGAACAAATTCATATTTTTGAAAAGTGGTGAACAGAGAGAAAAAGGCAAGTGTTTACCCTGCAATTTTGGTATGAACAGTACCTCAAGGTAAACGGATGGTGGATAAAGAAAGTTCTCCTTCCAAAAATTTCTGCTCTTCAACGAAAAAGGAAGGAGACAGTATCATTTTGTTATCCTGGCAATGGCTACTAAGCTGATGGATCACACAGGCACTATATAAAGCCACTGATTGATTTTAATACTACTAAGAAAGGACAACCAGACATTAAATGCCTCCTAATATATAATAGGAAGAATAAGCACTGCCAAATTGAACCTAATATTAAGTCTCAAGAATTTTGAAGCCCAGTTTATACAGGGAATAAAAATATTAAACAGCACCACAGGGCTGCCACCAGCCAAATTTGGAGAGTGAGTCTGGAAAATTTCTACAGGACAAATAAACCAGTTTCTTAAAGGAGGGAGAAAAAAAAAGGCAAAAGGTGAGAGGGAAAGGGGACCCTATATGTAAAAGAAGACTTAATAGATACATTAATCATTGTAAAATGATTAATAACAAAATAATCCTCACAAAAAATATGAAAAAATTATAATGAAAAAATTTTATCCTGAGACAATCAGATGGCTTCATATAGAGGGATTTAAAACTTGATTATAACAAGCTACCAAAATGGACTCTATTAATTTAATCAGCATGCTTTATTAATTTAATAATAGGCCAACTAGAAGGCATACATCAATACAACATTCGGATTTCATTTAGATCCTAATTCCACAAATCAACTCCCCCAGGGAGACACTTGTATCTAGAAGGTCTTTTCACAGTGATGACTCAGATACACAAAGCAAAGCACGCAGCAGGCTCTTTCTCCCTTACCTGCTGAGTCTGGGCCTGCTGAGGCTGCGGCTGCGGTTGTGGCTGTGGCTGCTGTTGGTAAAATGCAGGTGCCTGCTGTTGTGGCTGCTGCTGCTGCTGCTGCTGCGACGGGGGCTGCTGCTGTTGCTGCTGCTGTTGCTGCTTGAGGAAGAGCTGCTGCTGGTGCTGGGGGGTGGCCTGGGCCTGAGCAGGCAGACCCTGAGCCTGAGAGGAAGGAGTCTGCTGAGGGGTGGGCGGGGCCTGTGGCTGCTTGGGCAGAGACTGTGGTCCAGGTTGGCTGGGCTGGGCTTTGGGTGGAGGAACACTGGCTAAAAGACCAGGCTGGTTGCTGGGTCCTGCAAGGAAAATGAACTCCACATAGGGATTCAAAACTCTTCCAAACAAACTCTTTCAAATAGCATTACCTTTCTTTCTTACTGAACCAATGAAAAGGGGATATAGTGGGGAGATGATCCCAATCCGCGGGCTCCCTGGTGTTTGCTTACATGCTCTGCTTGACCTAGAACACGAACTAGGAGCCCTGGTGGTGTAGTGGGTAAGCATTGGGCTGTGATCTGTCTGGGGTGGCAGTTCAAAACCACTAGCAGCTTCTAGGGAGAAAGCCTGGCCTTTCTACTCCTGTAAGACAGTTTGTCTCAGAAACTCACACGGGTCCCTATAAGTCAGCACCCACGGACTCGATGGCAGCGGGGGTGGGGTGGTGTGTGTGTGTGTGTGTGTGTGTGTGTGTGTGTGTGTGTGTCTCGATGGCTTCATATATTTCCAAGCAAGGCTCACTGTCAGTACTTGTCTTGTCAGAGTCTGCCCTTCTGCATCATCCCACTTAGTTTACCACTCCCCTAGTCAGCAGCCTGATTATCAACACCTTTCAATAGCCTTTGAGGCTACTGTATAGAAACAAAATCTCCAGACATTGTTAGAATGTTGCACAACAGAGGCCTTCTTTAATGTTTTACATGTAGGTACACACCCCATTCTAGTTGCTTAGCTTGAAGCTGCGAAATTCACCTTCCTGGTTACAGACGATGCCTACGTTCAGTTAATTGACCATCTGGATCAATTCTCACTATGAAACCAATCTTAGACCGCGCATTACAGGAAAATAATACCAAAATGTGTGTGTGTGGGGGGGGGCCAGGGGGTGCAGAGAAAGTCCAAGAGACATATTATTCCAGAAACAACCCCTTTGAGTGTCAAACAGAGGCAAGGCTTGCCTCTTAAAAGGCGTGGGAAGAACATAACGGACATGAAATAGAGGTGGACCTGGGACCAATGGACCACTGTCACCCCGGCGGAGCCAAGACTTGGGACAACATGGGCAAAGAGTCAGTAGTCGTGGACACGCAGCTCGGAATTGAATGAGAGGCTTTTCTAGGTACTTGCCATACACATCCCAACGCAGCTCACCTCCTATTGAAGGTGAACTGTTATTCTTTATGCACCTGCCCTTCCTGAAGTAAAACGAAGCTTTCTATGAGTTTCTCGTCATTTTGAAACCACTCCGGTGTACCATGTTTCAACCCATGTCATCACTGACCTGCAGCCTGGGGTGGGGGCTGCACCGTGGCCCTCTTTCGGGGTGTCAGGGCTGGTTGGATGGGAAGGATTCCTGGATTTGGCTGAGTCTGCCCAGCTTTCGGCCTCTGGCGGGGTGCAATTGAAGTTTCCGTGGTAGGAATGGGATCTGTCAATCTACAAAAGGAAACACACACACACACACACACACACACACACACACACACACAATTTATGTTACAGTGCAAGAACATGGGGAAAGGTCACGATTTCACCTCCACATTCTAACCTTCCAATTATCTGTTTGATCAGTATTTCCCAAAGGGTACTTTACAGGAAGTTACTCAGTTATTCCACAAAACAAAAACCGCAAAGCCACTAAGGTGATTTAGATTCATAGTGACCCTAGAGGACAGAGTAGAACAGCCCCTGCGGGATTCTGAGACTTTAACCCTTTACAGATGTAGACAGTCTCGTCATCTTTTTCCTGTGGTTTCGAACTGCTGACCTTCTAGTTGGCAGTCCGATGCATAACTCACTACACCAACAGCACTACTGTTATTAGATATTATGAAAGACAAAATGCTGGGGACAAATAAGTTTTTAATGCGCTGAGAAAAATACACCTGAGCGATTTCTTCCCTTCAGGATATCTCACAATTTCTTAGGTGTGAACGTTCATAGAGAATCTTAAAAGAGTATAGATACAATGTTTCCCAAGTTTGATATTTTTACCACATGATCTCCTAGGACAGGGGTCCTCAAACTTTTTAAACAGGGGGCCAGTTCACTGTCCCTCAGACCGTTGGAGGGCTGGACTATAGTTAAAAAAAAAACGATGAACAAATTCCTATGCACACTGCACATACCTTATTTTGAAGTCAAAAAACAAAATGGGGGAAAAAACACCCGACAGGCAGGATAAATGTCCTCGGCGGGCCGCATGTGGCCCGTGGGCCATAGTTTGAGGATGCCTGTCCTAGGAGTTCCCAAGACACACTTTGAGTAGTGATACAAACGGGGCTGAGGCAGCCGGTTTCGCCTGCAGAAGGAACTCTACATGTTGCTAAGAACTTATAAAATGACCCAAATATAATAAAAGTATGAAAATTAGTAAATTTAATAAGACAACTAAAACAAATAAATAATTCAAGGAAAAGGATCTGGGATACTCTTTATGTATACACCCTTTCTACCTTGGAAAGGATGTCTTTAGCTGTGTCATCAGAGTAAAGATTGCGTTAGTCGATCTCTTGCAAGTAGGGATGGCCATGTGAGATCTGAATGTAATATTATGTGATAGCTTCTAGACACCTTAAGAACAGTCAGTTTGCCTCTCTCCCCTACTTTTGACTGTGCTGCCAGAAAGAGGGATGTTACCATATTGGTCCATCAGGTGAGAGTCGCATGCAGGGATGACTGAGTGGTAAGTTTGAAGAAGCCTAGTTCCTCGAGGGCTTTATGAAGCAGAACTGGCCCGGACATTGTTTATAGGTGGGATACAAAACAAAACAATCTGCCTTGTATAAACTACTGCTATTTTGGACTTCTATATGTTGTAGCTATTCTACATTGAAGAGTAAGTTTCAGTCTCTTCTGACATCCATTATTGGTTGGCCCTTCCTCCCTGCTTCCCTTTTTAAAAAATACTTTTATTGGGGGCGATTACATCTCTGATCACAATCCATACATTCCTCTAATGTGTCAAGCACATTTGCCGCCACCATCATTTTCAAAGCATTCTCTTCCCACTTAGGCCCCTTGTATCAGCTCCCCATTTCTTCCCCCTCCCTCCCTCACGAACCCCTGATAAGTTAGAGACTATTTTTTTCCATATCTTACATCGTCCTCTGTCTCCCCTCACCCACTTTTCCATTATTCATCCCCCTGGGAAGGGGTTCTATGTTGATCCTTGAGATCGATTCCCCCCCCTTCTCCCCGCACCATCCCCTCATCCTCTTGGTATCTCTACTCTCCTTGTTGGCCATGAGGGGTTTATCTATCCTGGATTCCCTGTGTTGTGGGCTCTATCTGTTGCAGTGTGCATGCTCCAGTCCAGGCGTCCTCAAACTGCGGCCCACTGGGTGTTTTTATCCCGTTTTGCCCTTTTACTTCAAAATAAGATATGTGCAGCGTGCATAGGAATGTGTTCATAGTTTTGTTTTTTTTAAACTATAGTCCGGCCCTCCAACGGGTCTGAGGGACAGTGAACTGGTCCCCTGTTTGAAAAGTTTGAGGACCCCTGCTCTAGTCTAATCCAATTTGTAAGGTAGAATTGAGGTCATGATAGTGGGGTGCCTCCTTCCCTTCTTAATGAGCTTGTTTCCCTCGTGTATAATGTCCTCCCACAGGTCCTTAGTCATTAGTGTTCAATGTATCAAATCTAGTCTTGAGACGGTCTCTAAATTCAGGTGAAATACACTCAAGGTTGTACTTGGGTTCTCTAGGACTTCTTTCAATGCAACTCTTTTGTATTATATCTTGTGAGGTCCAAGTACTGACACTTTTGTTTCTAACTTTTGCATTCCAATCACTGGTCATTATCATTGCATGTTTGATTCATTTGGGACTGCAGACGCTTGTAAGAATCTCCAATCTCTTCATCTCGGCCTTGATAGCTGGTGGGTGAATCTGAATAATAACCATAAGAATTGGTCTTCCCTGTGGGCACATGGATATTATCCTATCCCTGACAGTGTTGTGGTTCAGAACAGACCTTGAAGTGTTCTTTTTGATGATGAATGTAACACAGTTCCTTTTGCATGTGTCACTGACGTGACTGTGCGATCTATTTCAACTCACTAATGCCTAAGGTATCCATCTGTATGTGTTCCCTCTCATGTTTGAAACGTCTAACCTTTTCATATTCATTACAGCGGAAAATACGAGGATGATGGTTGACTATGGAAAGGCATTCAGCTTTTTGGATCACAATAAATTATGAACAACATCGTGGAGAACAGGAATTCTAGAACACTTAATTTGATTTATGCAGAGCCTTACATGACCGAAAGGCAATTATTCAGACAGAAAAAGGGGATACTGCGTGGTTTAAAATCAGGAAAGGCATGTGTCAGCGTTCTACCCTTTCAATGTATATGCTGAGCCAATCATCTGAGAAGCTGGACGATATGGAGACAAACACGACACAGGATTAGAGGAAGACTCATTAACCACCTGTGATGTGCAGATGACACAAAAATGAAAACCTTCAGTATGGATTGCACCTCAGTGTAAAAGGAAAACAAACATCCTCTCAATTGGGCCACTAAGTAACAGCACAATAAACGGGAAAGAATGAAGTGGTCGACGACGTGCTTCTACCTGACTCCACAGTCAACACCCAAGGAAGCAGCAGTCAAGAAAGTTAAGTGATGTGCGGCATTTGGGTACTTCTGCTGCACAAAGACCTCTTCTCTTTAAAGAGTTAAAAAGCAAGTGTGCTTTGAGAACAAAAGTGCACTTGACTAAGCCATACTAGTTTCACTTGCCTTGTATGCACACAAAGGCCAGATAATGAATCGGGAAGACCAGAGGAGAATCGACCATCTGAAGTATGGTGTCGTGAAAAAACAGTGACTGTACTACAAGCAGCCAAAAGAACAAACAAACCTGTCTTGGAAGATGTAGAGGCAGAACAATCCTTGCAAGCAAGGATGAGATTTTGTCTTACAAACTTTGGGCATACTCCCAGGTGGGCTAGTCCCTGGAGAAGGAAATCGTGCTTCCTAAATCTGAGGGTCAGAGAAGAAGTGGAAGACCCCCAAGGAGAGGAGTCGACTCCATAGCTGCAAGAATGCACTCAACTAGCAATGGCTGCGAGTCTAACCCAGGTTATTGCTCCATGGAACTTTTAAAACTTGATACAAAGACAAACAGGTCAGACATGGGTATTATTACCTAGAAGAACTAGATGACTCTATAAGTCTGCTCTTATTTTATTTATTTTAATGAAAAATAATTTTATTGGGGGCTCCTACAGCTCTTATAACAACCCACACACCAACTTTATCAAACACATTTGACATATGTTGCCATTGTCATTTCAAAACATTTTCTTTCTGCTTGAGACCTTGGTATTAACACCTTTTCCCCTCCTGGGCTCTTCTCTTATTTACCTGCTAGTAATTAAAAGCTCGGTTCTACTATCTAATCAACAAAAACATCCTGCCATTGGCCTAAGACTAAGTGATAAATGAACTTTATTCTTCTGTTTGCTTGCTCATGTTGAACTGTTTCCTGAGTTAAGTAAAACCTCAGGACGTGATTACCCAAAGTATAAATTCCAAGGTAAAATGTAACTTTTTCCTCTCTGAATTCTGGTCTCCAACAGGACACCACAGAGCCGGCTTGCATTGCTGTAACCCTCCTAGCTGGTATTCACTTTCTAAAAAAACATTCTGTTTCTTCCGAGTGAGTAAACTGGCTGCATGGTTCCGGGGGGAAAGACCTGCATTCCAGGTGCCTGAGGATGGTGCAGCCTGGGCAATGTTTCATTCTGTTGCACACAGTTGTTATAAGCTGGGGCCTAATAACAACATTTTGGAATTTCTAGAATTCACAGTCAAATCCATCTAAACAGAGAGGGCTGCCATGTGGTCCCGTGCTCCTTACGGTGGTACTGAAGCTTAGGTGCCAACCTTAATTATTCAGCAGTACAGGCAGTTGGTTAATATCTAACACAGACCACAGTCATCTGCGCTTCGAAAAAGCACTTTAGGGAGGATGGCTGACGTTATTAAGACCAAAATAAACAAGCCTCATGAATATTTCCAAAATATGTCAAGCACAGCCTCTATGAGATGCAAAACAGGAAGCAAAGCAGCTGGCTCTAGTCCTTCCCAAGACATGCCTCCAAGGTATCTTGTCTGCTCTAGGCTCAGTAGCTTTCCACTGGCACTCTGCTAGCAGAGAGGTGGTGTATGAAAGCTATCACATTCGAAAGGGGCTGCAACCTTGAGAAGGAAGGTGAGAAGGTAAGTGGGACATTATGTTGGAAGAAGAGAAAGTATTAAAAATGACGAAGCCCAATGTAAGGGAGGTGAATAGACTGCTTGCTAACAACTTCCTTGTACCCCTTCCATGAGCTATCAACAACAAGCAAGCGGACAGGGAACTAATGTTGAGCAGTGGCTACCAGGCCCTGGGAAGGGGAAGGAAGGGAGAGTTTGTGGTTAAGGGATACTGAGTGCCGCCCTGGGAAGATGAAATGGCTGCACAGCATGATGAATGTCAACGAACCGTACACTTAGCGCGTAGATGAAATGGCTGCACAGCATGATGAATGTCAACGAACCGTACACTTAGCGCGTACAGTTTTTTAATACAAAGTCACCCTCCGTAACAGCAAAAGTTGCACATCATGAAGAACGAAATTCCTGCCACTGAATTATACATGCAGAAGTTATTGAACTGAATTGAATCGGTTTCGGTGTACAAAAATGAATGAATGGATGAAGGTGCTTCTATACTGTTTTGTTGTTGTTTCGGTCATCGTGGAAACAATGGAATGTGGACTCAGAGGATTTCTGAGCTCCAGTTCTGCACTCACTCACTGCCTGTAGTGAGCACATCAGCCTGTCTCCGGTTTGGGTTCCTCACATGCACAATGGGGGAAACAATACCTGCTCCACAAGGTAGACGTGTGAACCAAATGCCTCAATGACTGCACAACTGGTTTTTAACTCGAAGGCGCCCAAGCGGTTAGTGTGTCTGAAACTCAACGTGCTGCGAAAATAGGCAGACCACGCAGCCAGGAGGGAGGTCTGGGTCCAAGTCAGTCTACCTGTGATCCAGGCCTGATTACTTAACGTACACAATAGATGGAGCGTGAACCTCGGAGTTCTGATCTTGCCTTTTACTAATCCCTGACAGCGGGGCAGTGAATTATTTAGCGTGGCTCTGCTCACCATAGTCTTTGAAACTCCCACCAAATGACCTTTTCCTGATGGATCTGGGTAAGAAGGTAGGGGTGACTCTAATGGGGTTCAGTTGGGAGAGCTTGTTAACAGGATTCACTGTGGATGCCGTCCAGCTGGGTGTAAAGTGAGCCCTCTCCAGCAGGAGGGGGACTCTCACTAGCAGCAAGAGCCAGGAGGGAAGTGTATCCTCTGGGCCCGAGATCTCTGTGCAGTGAGCATCTTAGTCCAGGAGGCAGTTCTGACACGGAGAAGTGACAGAGCAGCAGCAGCAGCAGCAGAACCAGAAGCCAGCGCAGGGGGCCAGCAGGGGGCTTCCCAGCCCACAGAGCTTTCTGGCAGGAGGCTGACTTAAGGAGTCGGGTGCCTCTGGGCAGTGAGGTGTTTTTTGTTGTTGTTTTTTAATTCATCTGTAAAATGAGACTGTATGGGGAAACAACCCCATCACAGGCTTATTATTTAGGTAAAGCATTATAGGACTCATAATGCCTTAGAGAATAGCGTGTGTACTTAAAAATAGAGTTTAGGGCATAGGTTCCCAAACTCGTCTGACACACTGGCTCCCTTTTCAGAATGGTATTACTCAGCACACTCCTGGAAACTAATCCAGCAACATGTGTGGACATTGGCTTTTGCAGCCCCCTTGGATCCAGTTCCAGCACTATATTGCCCACTTTGGGGAACACTGGTTTAAGGGGAAGATAAACCACCTGTCGGGACTGGGGATTAGATACGATGCTGTGAGGGCAGTCACTCTGGGCACAGCAGAGACCCATGCAAATATGGATTTGTTGTTATCTAACGCGTGCTTTGTGGGAACTGGGAAAGGGAACGATGTGACTTTCCACTCCCGTCAAGAGTGACAGTCTCAGAAGCCCTCGGGGCAGTTCTATCCTGTCCTATAGGGTCACTCTGAGCCAGCATGGACTCGGGGGCAGTGAGCTTGAGTGCTGGGGATTTTAGAGGACGGCACATGAAGCTAATTAAATTGGTCCCAATGGCAAGTCTGAAAGGGCGGGGCATGGCAGAAGCAACTTCCAAAACAGAAAACCTAAGAAGTCAGAACATGGACATGCAGTTGGCTAAGTTTGTTACAAATCAATGTCTCATCATTTCAGAGCCACATCTGGAAGAGCACACACTAAGCATTCTATAAATAGTCAAGGTTTTTGTTTTTTGTTTTTTAAATACAGAAGCTTTTTTACTGTGGTGCTAAACTTCACACATTTTTATCTGCATACTGCGTTGACATCGTTTGTGACTAACATTTCCCTGTCACGGGAGTGTGGTAGGGAAAAAATGAGGGCATTACAAACATCTCCTGGGCCACCCCCAGAATGTGCCATGTGGAAGGCCTGGCGGCCATGAGAAGGTGCCTTACAGACTGTCAGCTGCAGGGGTGGAAGTGAGCAAGAGCTTGAAGGGCAGTGGTCCTCAGCCTGTGGGTCGTGACCCTTTGGGGGTTGAAGGAGCCTTTCACAGGGGTCGCCCGATTCATGACAGTAGCTAAATTACAGTTATGAAGTAGCAACGAGAATAAGGAACTGGAAGAAAGGGTTGTGGCATGAGGAAGGTTGAGAACCACTGTCTGAGGGCAATGCTCTCAAAGGCACTGCCAAGAGGGCCCGGGCCGTGCTTCCACAGGCTGTGCCAGAGTGCTGTGGGCAGATGAAGGCGGGCTCCTTCCTAGGAGGCCACAGCTCCGAGGCCTAGGGCTGCCCGGGTCACTGCCTTTGACCCCGTGTTCTCCTCGCCTTTTGGGTTAGACTATCACCTGACGTCTCTCCTCAGCCCATCAGGGCTCTCTAGTTAATCTCACGTGACCTTATTCCTCTAAAAAAAATTTTCTTTTTAATGGTCCCTTGGCACACCCAAGTAACACAGAAAGGAATTAGCTAAGACTAAGTCATTTTTTTTTTTAATTGGGTTTTTTTGTGGGGGGAGCATCACAAGAGAATTTACTTTGGAAGCTCCTAGGAGGAAGAGAGGTGTCCCGGGGATGCAGGGGTTATGCGTTGGGCTGCTAACCGTAAGGTCAGCAGTTTGAAACCACCAGTCGTTCCTTGGGAGAAAGACAGGACTTTCTGTTCCTGCAAAGAGTTACACTTTTTTTTTAAAAATCGTTTTATTAGGGGCTCATACAACTCTTATCACAATCCATACATACATGAAATGTGTAAAGCACATACATTCATTGCCCAAGAGTTACACTTTTGGGAACCCACAGGCACAGCTCTACCTTGTCCTGTAGGGTTGCGCTGTCAGTCGGCATAGACTTGATGGTACTAAGTTTTTGAGAGTTGAAGGAGGAAGAAAATGTTACCCAACCAGCATGGACAGACTCTAGTTCTTGCCATCTCCCCAGCCCACACACACATAAAACTCTTTTTAAAGGTTCCTGCATGGAGATTCTCCATGGAGGGGGGGTGGGTGTTGTCATGGGTCCTGCACATACTCTGTCCGGATCCCCACCTTAGCTCCCTTGCCCTCCTGTCTCATTCCCCCACTGAGAGTTCACACACACGCTTCTATATGAGACTGGGAGGGGGGTCGGCCCTTCTCTAGCTGTTTCCCACTTACAGGGGCATCGAGAACCATCACCCTGTCTACGTGGGTAGAAAGCGATCCTAATCCACTCTCCACTAAGGGAAGCAAGCGCTACAAGATGAAGGGATTTGAGGCCGTGAAGACTGTCTTTTACTGCTCAGTGCTCTGACCAGTCCTTCCTTATAGGGCTGAAAGAAAAGAAATGGGGTGCGGAGGGGGAGGGGGATTGGGATGGTGAATGAGGCTACACTTGGGCCAGGACACATGTGCAGGGCACTTAGCGTAACCCTATGCAAGGGAAACAGCTGTAGAGTTTGTGATTCTCTTTCATTGTAGATCAGAGCATTTTGTTACATTCCTCTGTAGGCCCACAGAACAGCTTCTGCCCCGGAAGCTTGTTTTCCTGTCCTGTACAGCCTCTGGGTCACGGCAGTAGAAGAATCCCGAAACAGAAAAGGCCCACCGGGCTAACAGAGCAGCAGGGAGAAGGCAGGTACACCCTAAGGCAATTCTTACCTGGCCTTTGGCTGGGTCTTTTTTGCAGCTGCCTCACTGGCTTTCACTGGTTCAGGAAGCTTTGCAGGAATGGGAGCATTCTATAGAATTGAGAGAGAGAGAGAAAAGACATCATCGCTTTTGGGGGAGGTGCAGTGGGGTGTAGAACATTAGCCAGCCTGATGGCTGATAGGAGTCTTCCCAAGTAGTTTCCAGGCCTCAATCTATAGGAGAAAGGGAAGAGAACCGCGTGTATATCCCTCCCAGAGCTGCCCAAGAGAGAGGCAGCACTGGACCAGGCGCACATCATCGGTGTCTGATCCCTGTCATCTTTTAGTTCCACAGCACAGCTTAGAAATGAAGTCATGAAAGGAATGTACGAGAGAAGCCTGTCACCTGTGAGACTTAAGCTTCCCTCCCAGCGGGCTACAGTGCCAAGGCAGGGAGGAGTCATGCTTCTGGTTAAAATGCACAAATGAAAACCAACATGCCAATGAGTTTGGGTGCTCAGTCCAACTCCCCCAAAGCGTGATCCATTACTCAGTCCACAGGCCTTGAAAGCAGAGCTCCTCTGGCTTGGATTCTGCACCACCCATCGGATGTGACCTCTAGAGGGAGCACGCGCTGTCCACGACTACAGAACACCCTCCACTGGTGGTGGAGAGACGTGGCGTGGCAGTCGGGAAGTGTCCTTTTTAAAAGCAGGTTCCTGTCAGAATGCTTCCTGTCAGGGTACTTCACGTTATGAATGGGGAATTGGGGCAACAAAAGCAAACCGAACAAGCGGAGGAGCTTATCCGGGAATCCTCATTGTAATGTGTGACACCCAACCAGCACAGCACCAAGTTACATGACTGGCTTTTAGGAGGGACATCCCATTTCCTTTACTGTTTCCTCGGGGGAGGGATTTCTGCTAGAAAAGCTGTCAGCTTCGCTGTCCTTCAGGCATTTCTCCTTCACAGAGAATAATTTATCTGACGGATAAGACTGGGAGGAGAAGCTCAGGTCATTTGCGCCTTCTTGCCCTCCAAAAGCAGGCTTTTGTTCCTAAGTCGTGTGTATCTAATGTTAGGGAGCCTGACTGGGCAAGCTATGTTCTTTGACTCCACTTTATCAGTAATAGTCAATATTTTGACCCTCGAATCTGATTCCCAAATGTGGAAGTGAAAGTGTTATTTACTAGTACCCTCGAGCCCAATGGACATAAAACAGTTCATATTTTTAAAAACTAGTAAGAGGACATTCTATTAGACCCTGATCTATTATGGCACTCATTACTCAAATATTCAAGAGTTAGTTCATAACATGACAGGAAAAATATGCTAAGATTATAAAAAGGGTGTTCATAAGCATTGTACTCTGATAACTGTGAGTGTACACTTTATGATTACAAAGCACAGAAAGCATTCCCAGGGCCTGATGTGTGTGGCGAGGGTAGAAGAATTGCAAGGCGGGTCAGAGATGGTCAACAGCAGAAACAAGAGCTAAGAAAGCTCTGCGGCGCTGAAGGAGACACGGAACAAGTGGTGTAAATCCCAGCAGAAGGGCAGATCCAGATGTTGCCCCAGGAAAAGCCACCTCATCACCTAGAAGGTAATTACAACAGGTGTTCTGAGAACTATGAAAGTTGACAAGACATGAAGTTGGTCAAATCTTTACCTCAGAGATTTGACTCCATCCCTGGAGTATTTTTCTCCTCCATGTAACTGCCTCAATTTTAAAATTAAATTTTATGTGAAAATTAGATTCCTTTTATAACAGTTGCTTCATAGTTACTTTTGAATGTCCCCTTGTAGCTAAAGCATCTATATTCAAGTACAAGGCTGATTAACACCCCTGGGATTTTAAGTGGCAATTTGATATTTACTTTTCTTAAAAAATAAAAAAAACCCACCATTCACATACCTGTACATTTTGAACTGGGCATTCTTTCTTGAGGAGTTTAAATGCGAAGTAGGAGACCTGGTAAATATCTGGCCTTTTGTCAGGATCTGGTTCCAACATATATCCTAAGACAAATATATGACAACTTATTTAATAATACCTTAAAAGTTGTGTTAGTAGCTAGAATGTATAATCGGCCCATCCTTTACTTCCAAGTTGTGTTTTTAAAATTTTCATACCTTACAAAAAGTCAGACGACACAATTAGCCTTTTGTCAGAAAAAAAAAGGAAAGAAACAAAAAAACCTACTTTCTTAAAATTCTTACTGTTCACAAGAAAATAACAGAATGGCAACAAAGATACTGGCAGTTCCCATTCTCTGTCTAGACAACAAGGATGATGGTGAGGCTGCTGTGGTTGTTAGCTGCGGTGGAGTCAGCCCTCAACTCATGACAACACCACTCACAAGACAGGATGGCTACGATTCGCTGGCTGATTTTCTGAAGCAGACTGCCAGGCCTTTCTTCCTAGTCTGCTGGTCCGAATGCTCTACTAAAACTTGTTTAGCATAGACCAACCATGCAAGCCTCCACAGACAGATGAGTGGTAGCTGCCTATGAGGGAACACTGGACAGAAACTGAACTGGGTCTCCTGCCTGGAAAGGAAGAAGTCTACCACAACTCAACCCACCGTCTTCATATTCGGATACGTAAGAGGCCATGTGGTTTTGCTCCTGACTTCTTCAGTGCATAATTTCTGGCTCAACAAATGATTGTTCTTGCTAAATGTAACCAAAACCCAAATCTGATCATTTACTTTGTTTTTTCCCCCGTTGGAGACATTAGCTGATTTCAAAGAAACCACAGGGTAACATATGCGGATCACTTTTACCTGATCCATCGATCATTTGTCTATCGCTAAGCCATTTAAGCTTTTCCCTTCTCGGAAGTTCAGATAAAACCCCAGGATTAAAAAAAAAAAAAGCTTTGAGAAATACACACACACACAATGTAAGGCAATGTATTGCATAAGTAATAAAATGAATGGCTTACACACTAAGTTCATAAAAACTCGATGTTCTACAAAGGTCTTGGAAAAGAAGGGCTAGAGCCAGTCCTTGGAGATGGGGACATTTTAGGTGAAAGAGCCATCGCGGCAAAGGACTTGGCAGATGGAAAAGGAATGTCCCAAAGTGTACTGAATAGGGGCCCGGTGGGGTGTTGTAAAATCACTCTGGTGGTTGAGGGTTATGTAAGCTAGACTGAAGGAGGATGACAGAGGCTGGTGCCCAATCCACTAGTACAGGCATGAGCTGTCTATATATAGTATGGTGACAGTAAAGAGATTAGAGAGCATGTAATAGAAACAGGAGAAATTCAAAAGCGAGAACAAAAGCAGCTGAAGAGAGGACTCGTGCTCTGGACGTGTTATCAGGAGGAACCAGCCTGGAGAAAGACAGCATGCTTGGCGGAGTGGAGGGTAAGCAGAAAAGACGATGACCTTCAAGGAGACAGATTGACCGGGGTTGGCAGCAATGGGCTCACACATCGCAGCGATTGTGGGGATGGGGCAGGATGCGGAGGTAGTTTGTTCTCACTGTGAGTCGAAAGCAACTCAGTGGCACAAAACACGGCAGGAAATGACTGGCTCTTCCTTCTCCTTGGCTGTCAAGATCCAACGAGTCGCCGTTGAGTCAGCTGTGACTCACGGTCACCCATGTGTCAGAGTCCAACTGGGCTCCACGGGGTGTGCAAAGGCGGATTTCTCCGCGGGAATCGCCAAGCCTTTCTTCTGAAGCACCTCCGAGTAAACTTGAACCTTCAACCTTGGAGTTGGCAACCAAGCATGTTAGGTTTGTACCACCCCAGAATTCCAGCTAGATCCAGAGGAAGAACTCCAGTTTCAGCCACACAGGCTTGAATGGCGACCACACCACCAACAGAAGCTGAAGAGCTGCGAGGGGGATAAGCAGGGGCAAGGGCAACCATCTTCAATTCAGACAGGGGTGTGCATTAGTGTAGAGGAACGTACGTGTGCCTATGTGAGTGTGCATGTCCAGGTGCATCTGTAGGCATGGGTTACACATATAATCATATGGATAATTAAACAAACCAACAAACCACAGGGGACCCAGTTATGATACGAGCTAGACACAACCGAAAACCTCTCAGGATAGGCTTACTGGGTTTGACATCTTGGGATCATAGGCTCAGGGGCCAGTTCAGTCAAGTGACATCATTTCCGATGAAGTTTATAAGGACAACATTCTGTATCTCATAGTTTAGTGATTCGTATCTGAGACCTTAAAAGTAGTTGAATGTCTAACCATTTGTGCCACTCAGAGATTCCTATTATAACATTTTCAAGGGTTTATATCAAACTCAATCTATAGATAGTTTTATATGTAAGTAGAACTCTACCTGAGAAATAGCTCATAGGACTATATTTTATTGTTAGGTACCTTCAATTCAGTTCCAACTCACAGTAACATTCTATACAACACAATAAAGTATTTCAAAGTTCTGTGCACCATCACAAGCTTTGCTATATTTGAGCCCATTGTTGTCAATACCGTGTCAATGCAGCTCATTAAAAAATGAAGAGCTGATACCAAGGGCTCAAGTAGAAAGCACGTTTTGAGAATGATGATGGCAACAAATGGACAAATGTGCTCAATACAATGGATGGATGGATGGATTGTGATAAGAGTTGCATGAGCCCCCAATAAAATGATTGTTTTAATGTAAAAAAAAAGCTCTTGAACGGCCACCTAATATATAATACCTAATATACAACTGCTGGTCGACGCTGTCTGCAGCAAGAGAGAATGAAGGACACCAGAGGGTCAAGGGAGGAAAACGAGGCCACAGGCTTAAAAGCCTGCAAGAACTGTGACCCATCTAGCCTGAGACCAGGAGAAGTAGACGGTGCCCAGCTACCACAACCAAAGTGACTGGGACACAATAGAAGGCCCTGGACAGAAAGGAAAACACATAGAACAAAAACAAAGGTCCAGATTTACAGGACTGTCAGAGGACCCACCAAGATACACTTGAACTTGAAACTAAAGCCACTCCTGGTCGCCACTTTTCCCCTCAGAAATAGATTGGATTGCAAAATAAGCAATTATCACCCACAAATATGCTAGTCCTAACATAGTCAACTATTATCAACATTTACCCTAAAACAAAGGTGAGAACGGGAAATGTTGACACATTACAAAAAAAGTGTAAGCAATATTCTGGAACAAATCATGCAGAACTGTCAAATGGCAACCTATGTAAACTGCAAACTTTCACCTAAAACACAGAAAACATTAAAAAACTAAAATTTAGGCATCAGGGTTTAGTGTGACAGTAGAACTGTCAAGCTGTTATAAAGTGAAATAGATCACAGTTTGGGCAAGAAGTTAGTATTATAGACATACATAAGGAGCTCTTTTGCTCAATATGAATTTACTACAGAAACATTAAAAAAGAGTTCAAAAAAATTCTGTCACTAACATCAAATTTGGCTATGTTCTCATATTTCCTTCCAATCTCATTTCCATAGCTATAATTCTAGTATAGCTCCAATGCCTCATCTCTGAAAACAATCCCACAATCATTAAATGCCAGGCTCATTTCTTTTAAGAACCTCCTCCTTTCTTTGGCTAATAAATAGGAGAGTTTGATCAAACCAGCACAATGGAAGTAGCTACTCAAAGGCTATGTCCGTAGGTAAACTTTCTATACCCTCTCAGTCTGTGTTCTTCGTTTTATAATAGAAAAAACTAATTTACAAGAATAATGTCTTAATGTGCTTTCAGTGCCAAATTTACACAGCAAATTAGGCTCCTATTGAATAGTCAGTAAACAATTTGCTCAGTGACACTGGCTACATTTTACCCAGCCTGTCAACTTGATCATGGTTCCATGCTGGTTATTCTGCTTCTAGGGATCTAGTTTATAGATTACTTTGCCTTCTTGTCTGGGCTTTAGAGTAAACGTTGGCAGTCTGAACTCATAGAGATGATTTTTTTTAAGGGAGCACCACACTCATGGGTGATACTGCTTTTTTAAATGAATAAATCTGTAATTTAGTTAAAAACAAAACACACCCTAACTATATTTAATATAAAGAAGGCACTAAGAATCCAATGAGGTATAAGTAGGTCCTCAACAAATACCAGATGCTCCATCTGATAGCTGCTGCTTTTCTACCCTTCCCAGGTGAATTCCTTCCTCAGGCCCAGCCTGGGCGGCTCAGGGTTTATAATCTGTCATGGCTGAGACACAGATGTCAGATGTCTTGATTCATGTAGGGAAATGATAAAAACCTTTTTTCGCTACAATTTTAGCCTGTACTAAATTATTCTTTTATCTGGGTAATAAACACCAGTACAGATGCTAGCTATAATGATACATAAGAGTGGGCAATCTTAAAAATCCTATTTTAAAATAAAGCAATATGTGCTTTTTATCAAAATCCAGTGATTTACTTAAGGGACAGGAAAACCTGGTTTCATAGAGTTGCATAGCTTAATTATGTATTCATGCCAGCCAATGCACTGCAATAATTTTCATCTGAATTGCTTTCAGCCTTGCAAAGATGAATTTCTTATCATTTGATGAGTCAGCTGGACTTCTTCTGGTACCAGCGCTTCCATATCGACTCTGCAGAACGCACCAGCACTGTACTGCTCAAAACACAGACACTCTGCTCAGTCAGAGCAAAAGAACCCACCACTTTCACTCGCCACTGTCACAACCCGCCCAGGTTTGAGACTATGTTCTCTTTGAGGTCCTAAACACCAACAGCTAATTTCTCTGTCTTGGCATCCAACCCATTAAGCTGGGAGTCCAATTCCTCGGCTCTGTTTGCCATCCTCCAAAATATTCCTAGAGATTAGAGATTAAAAAAAAAAAAGCAAAAACAATGACATTTTAAAAGTTGAAATACTTACTGATCAGGCAGTGCATGTCTTGGGAATATCGAGAGTTATCAGGAATTGTGAAGTTTCCATCACAAATTGCCACTTGACTCTCCCCAAATGGCAAAGTGAAGTAGCATAATTTATACAACAAACATCCCAGAGCCTACACAAGGAAAGAAAACAATTGGGGTTTATTAACCACAAAGGCAAATGATTCTCATGAGGAACAGTGGATACACCATTCACAACAGATTTAATAACCACCCCCACCAACGTTTTAGAAACTTCCATTCAGAACGCACCACACCATTTCTACCTGCATTGCCAAACTGTGCTCCAGCATAGATCAATTATTTCAGCTCTTTATGTCTAGTAACAGTGACATGTCTGTGAAGAATGCCTAAATAATGGGCAGGTCACCTAAGTAATTGTCACAGGGCTCTGAAGGCATCCTCTTTGACAGGCTTCAGGAAGCCGTGGCTGGCCCCCTCATTTCAAAAATGACCAGGAGAGTTAAGTGGATGATATGGTCCCGTCTGCATTAACCTTTGGAGTTCACCGTCAAGTCACTGAAATTTGAGGTGTGGACAGGTTAGTTGGCACTTACCCAAATGTCTGCCTTTGTAGTGATGATTTTGCCACTGTACAGATTAACCATTTCTGGTGCTCGGTAGGACAGTGTGGTGTATCTAAAACCAAGAGAACAATTTTTGTTAACAAACGCCAGCAAGGTAATTACAAAACTAGAGGCGGCTGAAATACCTTCAAAAAACAAACCCAGAACATTTTAAGAGAGTCCAGCCCCCGTTAGCGATGTGGCAAAGGGGTATAAAATACTAGTGCAGATAAAATGAACAGGTGTTCTTTTTGTTGTATCATCAGTTTTGCACATCAGGGCCATGCCACCCTTGTGGTTTATAAATTTTCTCATGCTGTGTTGTATTTCTAGAAACAGGAATCCCTTTCAAGGTGGCCAAACATGCTCTGGGGAGCAGCAGTGAGAGGGTATTGGCTGGGATGGGAGCAGAGTGGAATGACGAGTCCTTGGTTTTAACAGGGGCACACAGGGAACTAATTTTCCTCTTTTCTCTGGCTCAAAAAAGAAAGAAAAAAGTGATCAAAGCACACCCTCAAAGTAAATATCTGGGTGCTAGCAAGCATGTGACTTGAGCTGCTTTGGCCCCAGGAGCCTGGCTGGGGCTGTGGTTAGGTATAGAACAGGCTCCCCAGGGTGATGCATGAAATCAGAGGGAGGATCAGGATATCAGTGGTCCAGCTAGGCTGTTGACAGTAAGTAGTAATAGTCAAACCCTTCCTGATGTCCCAATCTTTCTCTGGCACACGTCAGGTGTTCAATATTTGCAGACTTCAGCAATCTTAAAAAAACAAAACAAAAACCCAACCCAACAACAGGCAGCCTGAAAACCTGCTACTGTTGAGTCATTTGCAACTCATAGCAATACTACAGGACAGACTAGCAGTTCCCCACAAGGTTTCTGATGCTGTAATGGCTACCACTGCAGTGAGCATTGGGTGCTTAACCAATGCACCACCAGGGCTACCTAAAAACCTTAAAAATAAGCCACTGCCATCAAATCGATTCAGACTCACAGACCCTATAGGACAGAGTAAACTGCTCCCGAGGGTTCCCGAGGTTGTAAATCTTTATGGAAGCAGACAACCTTCTCTTTCTCCTGAAGTGTGGTTGGTGGGTTTGAACTACTGACCTGGTGGTTAGCAGCCCAGTTGATAACCCACCATGCTGACAGGTCTCCAGGTCAACAATGCAACTCACCGTAATTCCTCTAGGCTTTGTAGGACTTTTAGCGCACAGAAGGAATACACAGCAGTTCTGAGTTCATTAAAAGTGTGACTGATGAGGTTGTGGGATGTTGTGATTGCTCTTATAAACATCATCCAAAGACCAGAACTCAGAAAAATCCCTGGAATCAGTTAAATTGCCGATGTGAAAATGAACAAGACTCTAAGCAAGGAGGCAGCTTACTTCTTAATCTCATCTTCTACTGCATTGACACCCTCGGATTGTGGATTTTGGAATTTGTTGGTGGCACTTCCAAAGTCACACAGGACGTAGTGGCCTCGGTCATGCAAGAGGATATTTTCAACCTGAAAAACATTCCCCAATTAATCACCCAGTCCAGGTTGTCATTTAGCAGCAGAGGTAACAGTTCAGCTTCGCAATCATAAAAATAAAGTATTTCTGATAATCCGACTAGCATACACAGGAAAGCTACTCCCTTCCAAGTATCCCAACAGGTGCCATCCAACATGAAGCAAAAGGCCAGGCACAGGGGACACCAGGGGAAAGCGCTACAAAAGCACTAGTGACCGAGAAGCAACAGCCCCAGTCCACATTCCCAGCCCTGGGTGAAGCCTCTGGGCCCTTGTTCTCACTGGTCTTTCAGACTAGAACAAGGGCTGGCAAACTTTAGAGAAGAGCCAATCCTGTCCCTCAGGACAATTTAAAATGTATTCAAGAGCTGTAAATAAGTGTTTACAAACAAATGAAACCACCATCATCTGAACAATATCCTTTAGTGTTTTTTTCTTCAATTTTTTTCAGAGGCACGTTGACCCACCGAAAGAGCCACATACAGCGCTTGAACAAACAGTTTGCCGACCCCCGGTCTAGAATGTTCTTCTTGATCCCCACATCTCTTTGCTCACTATCAAAAGCCCACGTATCTTGCAAAGCCCTGTTTACATGCCCCCCCTCGTGAAGCCTTCCCCAGGCCCCTGCTCAGACAGAGGTCACTCCTTCCCAACATTCCTGCAGCACTCTGTCCTTCCATGATATCCATTACTTCACTTGGACCTTATGAGCACATACATCAATTTCTTGGCTACACCAGGCAAGGATTTTCAGAAGTAACATTTGTTACATTTTAGTTACTTCTCAAAGTGAAGACCTGGAGTAAATGAAAGTTCCCCTGTTAAAATATCATCGCAGTGTTTAAATAAATGAATTCTTTAGGCAAGAATCACTTCTGCAGACTTCTGGGTCATAATGAACTTACAAAGACCAGAACTCAGAAAAATCCCTGGAATCAAAGGACTTTGCCAAAGAAGTGCCTTAACTCCAAAATAGGGCACTGAAGGACGCAAGACACGGAATAATTTTTAGTCTAGGTGCACTGGGCTGACTGGTATGCTGGAGGGCAGGGCAGGCTACACTAGGGCAGCAAGAGGGCACTCCAAGAATCGTGTTAGGCCAACAAGTCTGTCGTCTCCACTGCCTTTTGTCTTCAGCTTTCTAGAGACAGCTCACCTTTGGAAAACCAAGGCCAAGAGATAAGCTCGTTAAGGAGAAGCATCATAATGTCCTAACTATACCTGTAGTTTTCTCTAACACAGGGCCCACTCAGATGTTAGCTGAGTAGAATCCACGAAAGAATTAATGAAATGTATGTAACGCATGGTGTTTGTTTGTCAGGAGAATGAAAACAGGGGCTACCAAACCACCCAAGTCGACCACCAGTTCTCCTTGAAATATCTAGTCTACCATGAATCTCTGGTTCTTAGATTGTACTTATGCCTGCACTTTAATTCTTCTAAAAATTACTTTGTTTTTATTTTTCAGTCCATATCTGCTCATTCCAGTCTCTAAAACCTCTGTCGGTTTGGAACCTGCGGCTCTTCCTTCTCCCCACCCATAGCGGGGTTCTTGCTAGGGTTGTTGTTAGTGCACATTGCTCAGTGTCTCTTCTGGGAGAAGTCTTTGAGATCTGGGCTTCTTGTGCCTCCAGAAAGAATTAGCTTGTACACCTGGGAGCACTAGTAACCTGGAATTGCATTAATTTAAACATCTTACCTTGAAATTTCTGGCCACAGAGGCAGCGTGAATTGTGATTGTCAGCTTGTGTGGAGGAGGCTCTTTCTTATGATTAAGAATTCTAAGGGGCGACTTGCTCCCCAAGGGACAAGGCTGAGGCAGGCAAGCATTTTCTTCAACTGTTTCATAAAGCTCCCAGATGAATTTATTTGTACAAATGAAAGAGTTGAGCTGTCTTGAGGATATATTCACATTAGGAACTTTTTAAAAGTCTAACAAAACCACACTGATCTTTTTTAAATTAAAAGATCATTTTATTGGGGGCTCTTACAGCTCTTATAATAATCCATACATCAATTGTATCAAGTGTATTTGCACATATGCTGCCATCATTCTTTTCTAGACATCTACTTTCTATTGAGCCCTTGGTATCAGCTCCCCTTCACACTAATGTTTTTGATCTAACTTAGAGGTTATGAAGACAACAGCCATCACTTACTAAGTTTGTACTACTTTTAGTGCTGGCCTATTGGACTCTTCACTGGATGATATAGCACTTAATCTTCGTAGTCATGTCTCCATTTTACTGATGCAGAAAGTGGTGTGAATGGTGACTGTGTCGCTTGCTAATGGTGGGAGAGCTGGGAACTGGATCTGGACGAACTAACGCTAGAGATCACCATCAACCGCCACGTTCCAGCCGGAGGATCTGTTTGCTGAGGACGGGTTGCTGTTGAGTCGATTCCAACTCATGGCAACTCCAAGTAT